CTGATAACTCCAATGGCAGAATCACCTGAGTGTGCGTGTGTGTGTATGCGTTTGTCCTTTCTTAGCTTCGGGCCACTTAGTTCTATTTTTTAGTATGCTTCATAAATTTTAAGTGGATTTGGACATTGTGAATGAAAATTTTTAAAGGCTATGGATAATTTGCCATTCTCCAAAGATGCTTATGTTTTCTTTTCAAAAGAATACGGGATACCAAGAGATCACCTTCATTCTCCTGAAGCTTGGTTTAAGGCAGTGGGAGGTTTGGTCTATTCCAAATTTGTTCCTACTCCTGAGACACTGTCCTTACTTCTAGAGCATGGTCATTACTTCTAGGGTATGAGCCTTTCAGAATCTCAACTGAAAACCAGGAGAGTTTATGAAAGCACCTACACATTACCAGGACCTGCGTGCTAGTCTCTATCTCTCTAATACCATGTGTTTGCTGAAATCCTTGTGCAGCACTTCAGCCTCTCTGCTGCTTTTTTCTGCTTGGTTTCTAGGAGTCTAATCACTTGCATATGAAATGGAGGATTTGGCCAATGACTTGTGAGAAATTTGTATTCATACTGCTTCTTCTCTGTGTTTTGCTTTTCTCTAGAATTTTATCCTTTAATACCAGCCATTTTGGCAGCCCCAAATTCTGACTCTGTTGCTGTAGCCCAGGAAGAACATTATTTCTGCTTAAACTCTGTTCCCCTAGGCTGAAATCTGGAAAATATCCTCAAGAAAATAATCTAGGGATGATGTTTATATGGGGTTCACTTCACAAATTTTCTTCTTTCAAGAATCCTAGCTCCTCAACTCTCCCTGTGTTGGTTATACTCCAATGCCTTAAAAAGGTTACTTTATTGTTTGATCAACTTCTAGAGTTGTTTTTTGTTGGAGGATCAGTCAGATACAAACTACTCCATCATGACCAGACCAGAAGATCTCTACAAACAATTTTAATGAATAATATCTATATTAAACATTTTGTTGCAAACAATAGATAGAGAGGGAAAACTATTTAAATCCTTTTATGATGATAATAGAACCCCTATTCTACTGGCAGTAAAGAATAGCACAAGAAAACAAAATCATAGAATCATCTCACCTATATATATGGAAACAAAAATCTTAAAATACTAGTGAATAGAATCCAGCAATGTATTAAAAAAATACTACAGCCTAGACAGGGCTTATCCCATAAATGGAAGGACTGTTCAATATCAAAAACTATGTCTATGTAATACAGTATCTTAACATTAAAGGAAAAAAGCCAAATGATCATTTTGATAAATACAGAAAACAAGTTGGATAAAAACAGATACATTCCATTTCTTAAAAAAAAATAAAACTAATCTTTAAGAGGCCAGAAGATAAGATTTTCTTAACCTGATAAAGGCTATCTGCCAATACCCCAGAGAAAACATCAGACCTTATGGTGAAAGTTAAATCATTCCTATTCAGGTCAAGAATAAACAAAAATGCCTTCCATCACCCTTACCATTAAACACTGTACTGAAGATCCTCAATAGTTCAAAAAAAATTAACTGCACATAATGATTAGAAAGAACAAACCTAATTTATCATTATTTGCAAGCAATGTAATCATCTATATAAAAGCTAAAAAAACTACAGGAAAATTTTGAGAACAGCTTAAAAAACTTATGGTAGTTAAAAGATGAACATACAAAATCTATAGTGTTCCCAAATACTAAAAACAAGTAGTTATAAAACTGTATTAAAAAGATGACATTTAGCAAACCTTTAAGATTCTTGGGAATAAATCTATCCAAGTGTGCAGGGACTATATGAAGAAAATTATAAAATCAGATTTCTAATTCACATTCATAAACAAAAATATATTCCAGATGGGATAAGACTTAAGTATTTTAAAAAAGTTTAAAACTCTAAGTAAAACAGAAGAATATTTTTATGCTTTTATTTTACATAGAAAATGTTTTTCATTATACTATATAGCAAAGATAAATAAATAAAATAAACTTATATGTAACAATATATATAGATCTTAACACATTGAGTAAAGAAAGCAATTTTGTAGAATATGAGAGTGTTATCATTCTACTTCATGTAATTTTATATAATTTTCAATTATGTAATTTATGTAAATGTTTAAAGTATACAAAGCAATACAATAGCTAGTTTATAGATTCTCATGGCTTTAATAAAAATATAAAAATAAATATAGACAGAAGTATGCAATCTTATTTAAGTGGTTATCTCTGGAAAACAATGGGACTAGATGAAAAAACAGGTAGACTTCAATTTTATATCAATGATGTTTTGTTTTATATAAAATATAATAAGCAAAACTTTAAAAATTAATACTAATTATGAGTTGGATACATGAATGTCTTCATATAATTCTTTCTGCTGCCATTTTTGATCTTTTATAAAACAAGACACTGGGAAGGTCGCATGGATAGTTCTCTTTGTTTTTTAGTTTTGAAACAAAATATCCAAAATGTATTCTCTAAAAGCCAAAATGTATTCTCTAACAGCCAGCATCAGCAGGTACGGCCGTGGGGTTGTCGCCGCACACCACACATTCACAAGGCGCAACGGGGAGCAAGGCTCTGGCGTGTCCTCAGGAACAGCACCCACTGCACAGTGTGAACAGACACTATCATTGTGTTCACTGACACTCCCGGGAGGAAAGGCACAACTTGGCAAAAACAAAAAATGTTTCTGGATCCTAAAGTCATATGCAGTCACTCAGAGACCAGCTTTTGATATTCTTGATCTACATTTCCACATCGAGGGGGAGACTCCTCCATGAAGAAATTAGGGTCTTTCCTTCTTCCTTGTTAAACTGTTAAAAGTCACATTTATTGTTTGCTTAATATTACATACACAGAAAAGGGGATTAAAAAACATCTTGAGCGTCCAGCTGCTCCTACTAATACATCAACTCCTAGGTTTAAGACAGGGACTAGGAACACTTTCAGTGGTCATAAAATAGAAAAAGAGAGACAAAAATAAAAAATAAATGAGGTAGATAAATTAAAGCCTTCATACTCAAAACTGCCTGTTCCAACTTCATAGCCTTCGTGCAACAACACCCGGAGCAGGGCAAGATATCTTCAGAATTACTTAGCATGAGTCACATCAAGGAAATTTTTATAAAAATTAGTATGTGAACTTCTAATAAGAAACATGCCCTTCCATGAGTTTCAAGAACAAAAAACCCATTTGCTTGATAGAATAGGTAGTGGCAAAGTAAATTAAGTCACCTGAGGTCCCCTGCTCAGATGCCCACCCGGCCTGGTGTTCAGGAAGAAGGTGGCATCTGGAAAGCTCAGGGAACACACTAGTGCTCTGAGGGCTCCCTCAGAACTGTACCCCAATACACAGCAACACACACGCTGACTCACCCTTTCCCCTCAGGAAAAGAGTCAAGTCCTGTGAACGAACTGAAATGCAAACAACTTTAAAAGATAAAACAAACAAAATCCAGGCCTAAGTGAAACTTAAATTTTACAGGAAAATGGGTCCGTTTCTGGAGATGGAAAGGAGAGCTGACAATGGATGCTAAGAGTGTTAGTATTCCCCCCCTGGGAGCTTGTGTGGCCAACATCATTGAGTACTTGTGAAACATTAATGGGCTAACAGAAAGTTATGAGTCTTTGTTCAATTAAAATTTGGTTGCACCATCATTAAAACTAAGCTGTTCCACCTGCTACTAATTTCATTCTTGGCTACTAGGCTCATTATTTATTTGTTTGTCTGAAGGAAGAGAGGAAGTGCTGCTGGTAGGGCAGATCAAACTGAAGTACACATGAGAGGTCATGTGCTAACGAACAAGAATGCTGATCTGTAGTGGTTCTCACTGCAAATTTATGGTCTAAATTTGATGACAGTTTGAATGCAGAATTGCACAAATGCCTGGGATTTCTATTTTTCTTTTTCCAGTGTTGCTGGGTAGTTTTCTTACTTGAGAATTGGAAGGGGCTAGGGTCCTAAGAACCTTTTCATTTACAGACTTGGAAACTGAGACCCAGATAGGTGAAATCATTGGTCCAAGGTCACACAACTCATTACTGGCCTCCTTCCAATGCTTCTGAAAATAATTTCATGTTCTACTTCTAAAATTATTCCATTCTGAATTAAAAAGGCAGCTTTTAAAAGGCACCCTTTACACACCATAACCTCTCTTGGTCACAGGAAAGAACCTAGCTGGTGAGTGAGCCCATCTGGACAAGAAAGGTAATTTCTGGCTATGTCTCTGAACTTCAGCTTCTCCATAATGTCTCTTATACACTCAGGGTGAGGTTCCAGTGCTTGAAGGAGACATGGCTCCTTTGTTCTTCCTTTATGAGGGACGGTGGTGTGGCCACCAGGAACAGTGCTGCTTCGTTCTCATTTTAGTGGATGCACCTGGAGCCAATTGCTTTCCAACAGCAAATCCTTCTTTTCCACGTATATGGAACCCATTGCATTCGCCAAGTACGTTTTCATCTATAATCTCATTTGAGCCTCAAAACCTCCCCAATACAAGTAAATTATCCTTATTTTCCAAAGGAGAAAGCTGAAATGCAAGGAGGGAGTATGCTAAATCGGTACCAGAGCCCAGGGCTCATCTCAGGACGTCTATCTTGGGTCTGGGCTCCTGGCCATTCCTTGGCCCCTCCTTACCCTGATACAGCCTTCCTCTCAGGTTGTAATAAGCTTGGCAGACACAGAATAACTGTAACTGGTGCTCGTCTGGGAATCACAAACCTGTATTAGGGCTGAGAAGTTGGAGAGGCAGGAGAAGGGAGAGGGGTGTGATTATCTCTTTCAAAGAATGCATAAGGGAAGTCACTGGAGGTAGCATGGGGCAAAACGTGCACTAATGAAGTTTCAGAGGGTTGTGGTCTAGGAGGACAACACACAGTCCAGTGTTTTCCAAATCCCTGACCCATTAGAATTACCTTAGATTGTTTTTTTACTTCTTTACTTTTTGTTTGTGAATAAGTAACAGATTTACAAGGTTCAGGAATCAAAAGAAACAATATATAGTGAAAAGTCTCCCTCCCACCTCTCTGTCCTAGTAACTCTATTCTCCTCCTTGGAGGCAAAACATGCTAATAATGACTTTAAGGACATATAATCAAGGCATATATCCCCTCTCAACACACATTTTTAAACTAATAAGAACAGATACTACACTTGATCTTAGCCAAAAGGCCGAGAAGTGATCAATACACATTTTTACATAAAAGGTAATATACTATACATTGTTCTCGACTTTCTTTTTTTACACCTAAATAACTTATTTTGGAGATTGTATCATATTAGTACACAAAAAGCCTCCTCTTTCTTTTTTAAGCTGCACAGTATTCTTTCCTGTGCATACACCACAAATTTCATTTAACTAATTTTATCTTAATAAACCATTAGGAGGTTTTCACTTTTTTGCTATTTTAAAGCTGTAATAAATAACTTTGTATAATGGATGTGTAAGAAAACTGAGTTTAAGTCTAAGCTCTAATGCAATGAATGCAGCCATGAACTTTGGGCAAGTCAGTTAGGATTTTGACCTTTTAGAAATAGAATCTTAGACTTCCGCCAAGATGGAGGCATAGGTGGAAACACTTTGCATCCTCGCACAACCAAATCTAAAAACAACAAAGTTTTAACAACAATAAATGCTACCAAACCACAGAAACTCGAACAATACAGAGTCCGAAAATAAGGAACCACTCAGCTAAATTGGTGAGAGGGGTGAAGCCAGCAGCCGAGCGGGTCAGGCCAAAAAGATACCCTGATCCGGTCAGTGTGCAGGCAGCCGAGGGCGCAGATCCCAGGTGCGGGCTAGCTATGGGAGGACCCAGGAAAGAGGCGTGGCTGGCTGTCTGCAGTTGGTGGAGCATTTGAGTGCAGATAAACCAGTGAAGAGGCAAGCATTGAGACAGATCGTGCAGACCCGGGTGACGCGCAGGGCAGTGGGCTTGCATAATTGCGCTCAGATAAACAGGCCAGGGTGAGCGGTGAGGTGGACTGGGCAAGCGGAGAGGATTGCCATTGCTCCCTCTCTGATCCCACCCCCACATACAGTGTCACAAACCAGCGACCTGGGTGGCCCCACCCTGGTGAACACCTAAGGTGCCTCTCCTCATACATAATAGGCACAAACAGATCAAAACATGGCTCAAGAAGAACTCAGAGCCCCAGAGCCAATAAATCTAAGTGATGAAGAAATAGCCAAACTTTCAGATGCACAGTTCAAAACAGTGGTGATCAGGATGCTCACAGAACTGGTTGATTTTAGCCACAAATTAGAGGAGCATATGAAGGCTAAACTAATTGAAATGAATGGAAATGCACAGGAAACCAATAGTAATTGAAAGGAAACTGGGACTCAAATCAAGGAAGCAGACCAGAAGGAAGGAAAAAATGACCAAACAGAAAAATATAACGAAACAAGAATTCAAAAAAATGAGGAGAGGCTTAGGAACCTCCAGGACATCTTTAAACACTCCAACATCCGAATTATAGGGGTACCAGAAGGGAAAGAGAAACAGTCACGAGTGGAAACCTTATTTGAACAAATAATAAAAGAGAACTTCCCCAATCTGGCAAAGGAAATAGACTTCCAGGAAATCCAGGAAGCTCAGAGAGTCCCAAAGAAGGTGGACCCAAGAAGGAACACACCAAGGCACATCATCATTACATTAGCCAAGATTAAAATGAAGGAGAGAATCCTAGAAGCAGCAAGAGATAAGGGGACAGTTGCCTACAAAGGAGTTCCCATCAGACTGTCAGTGGATTTTGCAAAAGAGACCTTACAGGCAAGAAGGGGCTGGAAAGAAGTATTCCAAGTCATGAAATCCAAAGACCTACAACCAAGATTGCTCTATCCAGCAAAGTTTTCATTTAGAATGGAAGGGCAGATAAGGTGCTTCTCAGATAAGATTAAATTCAAGGAGTTCATCATCACCAAGCCCTTACTATATGAAATGTTAAAGGGACTTACCTCTAAGAAAAAGAAGATAAAAAAGATGAACAGTGAAAAGACAGCAAACTCACAGTTATTAAGAACCACACCTAAAACAAAAGCAAACTAAGAGGACAGCTAGATCAGGAGCAGAACCTTAGAAATGAAGATCTCAAGGAGGGTTAGCAACAGGGGAGTGGGAGGAGGAGAAGGGGGAAGAAGGTACAGAAAATAAGTAGCATAGACAGTAGATAGAAAATAGATAGGGGGGAGAGTAAGAATAGTATGGGAAATATAGAATCCAAAGAACTTGAGACATGTGTTCATGAACTAAAGGGGAGGGAATGGTGGGGGAGGGGTGTGCAGGGTGGAGGGGAATGGAGGGGGGAAATAGAACAAATGTAATGGCATAATCAATAAAATAAAAAATATATTAAAAAAGAAATAGAATCTTAATGACCTTTTGGTCTAGCATTTTTCCAATGCATATGCATGGAATACTAGTCCCAAAGGGTACACACCCTGGAAATTGATAGTACACATAAGACTTTAAACAGGAACTAGTATAAAGGACACATGGACAACAACTGGGGGGTGAAAATGAAAGGGAGGTGGGGAGCACTGAGGGGTGGGCTGGGATGAGAGTAAAAAACAGAAAACTGTACTTGAACAATAATTAAATAAATTAGAAAAAAGACTTTTAAGAAGACCACTGTGAACAAACATTAATCAATCCAGGGTTTGACAACATTATTTAATAATGGGGTCCTTTTTAAAAATATTGTGACAGCTAATTTTATGTGTCAACTTGAAGAGTACATTTGGATGAGATTAACATTCAAATCTGTAAACTCTGACTAAGCAGATTGCCCTCCATAATGTGGGTGGGCTTCAACAAATCAGTTGAAAGCATGACTAGAACAAAAAGATTGGCCTCCCCATAGGGCAAGAGGCGGTCCAGGAGATGCCTTTGTATTTCATCTGCACCATCACCTCTACTGGGTCTTGAGCCTGCTGGCACACACTGCAGATTCGTACTTGCCAGTCTCCATAATCATGAGTCAATTGCTTATAAGAAATCTCTTTCTGTATATATATATAGATCCTATTGGTTCTGTTTCTCTGGAGAACCTAATACAAGAACCAACTGTTAACATACTATGGAATTAATGTTCCTTAGAACACTTAAAATTTAAAGAGGAAGTGAGATTTAATGTGGATCATAAAGAGTGAACAGATTCAATGGCAGAGATGTGATGGTTAGACATTCCAAGAATCAAGAAAACACAAGTCATATCTCAGGTATAATGGAAGCCAGTTCGATTAGGCCTCTAGTTTTTACTAATAATCTTTTATTTCTCTCATTCAACAATTATAATTGAGCACCTAGTACCAGATGTCATTTTAGTTACTGAAAATACAGCAGAGAATAAGACTGACGCTGCCTCTGCTCTAATGGAATTTATATTCTAGAAAGGAGAAAAAAATAAACTAATAAATGTGTCAGATTGGGGATAAATGCTATGAAGAAAAAATTAAGCAGAATGAAGTGGTTACAAAGCTGGGAGAAATCATTTTTTTTACAAAAGGTGACCAGAAAAGGCCACTTTGGTTAGGTGACATTAGAGCAGAGTCCTAAAAAAAATGAGAGTCATACATATTTCTGGAGGAACAATATTCTAGGAAAAGGGAAAAGCAAATGCAAGGGTCATGTTCAGGAGACAGCAACAGGCAGGAGTAGAGTTGGACAGGGAGTAAGAGGGCAGTCACAGAAGATGAATTCAGAGAGCCAGTTAATGCAGGGCCTCATTGGCCAACATAACAGCTTAGGTTCTTATTTTAAGTCAGATGAAGAGATATTGAAGGATTTTGAGCAGAGGAATGATAGGACCACTCTAGTTGTCTGTCGAAAATAGGCTATAGGTAGAAGGAAGGATATCAGTTAGGAGGATATTGCAACAATTTGAGGAAGAAATAAAAACTGTTCTGAATTTTGATGGCAGTAGTGAAAACTGTTAGAGTGTTTGGAATCTGGATATATGATTTTATTTATTTTTAGAGAGAGGGGCAGGGAGGCAGAAAGAGAGGGAGAGAAACATCTACGTGAGAGAGAACCATTGATTGGTTGCTTCTCATACATGCCACAACCAGGAACAGAACCCACAACCCAGGCATGTGCCCTGACCAAGAACTGAACTGGCAACCTTTCCCTTTGCAAGATGACGCCCAACCTACTGAGCCACACCAGTCAGGGTGAATTTGGATATATTCTGAAGATAGAATTAACAGCATTTGCTGATGGGTTGCCTGATAGTAGTGTAGGGCAGACAGTTCTGCTTAGGAAAAATCCTGGGTTCTGGTCTCTCTTGCAACTATTTGGTTATGTGACTTTGAGCAAGCCATGTAACCTCTTTGGGCCTTACCTACCTTTCTGTAAAATGGGGTCATTAAATTCTTGCTTGGAGTTAGGAGGGCCAAGTCAAATGGTCTCATTAAGTACCCCCACTTGATCTATAAATTTGGTTTAGTCTGTGCCTCAAAAATAGCACTCCATCATCTACTCTTTTGTACTGATTACTGTAGTTTCATGTAAAGAACTGTATCTTCCCTACTACATTGTAAATTCCTTGGATGCTGGGGCCTTGTCTATTAGGCATATTATCCCTACTTATTATCCAGTGTTTATAACCAACAGTCAAATAATAACCCTAGCTGAATTTCAGTGCTGTATTCAGTTTGTTAATGGATTTTGCAGTTCATTCCCCACTACTTATTTTACTTTACTTGTAAACCTTTAAATTTAGTGCATAAGACCCCCAGTTTCAAAGAGCAAGAAAAGGAGAAGAAAGAGGAAGGAAATTCCTATTCGGTAGTTGCTATACTGAGGTAGGTAGGTTAGTTAAGAAAGGCTTAGTGAAGAATTTGAAAGTCTGACATGGAAGCTCAACTTTAAAGAAGAGGTAAAAATTTTTTAAGTCAGAGAAAGGAAAGAAAGGCATTGCAGGTAGAAGAAATAGCACCACCCAAAGGTGCATGCTGTGGAAACAGAACCACAGCATTAGTGGGAGCACAGCATGCCCAGGGGTGAGGGAGGTAGAATGAACAGGGATGAAACTGGAACAGTAAGTGCCATGCTGATTATGATAAGCCCTCCATGTTGTTCTAAAGTACTGGTATTACCGAGGGGAAAAATGGGAAGTCACCTTTAGAATGTAATCCTCATGACAGCAAGTCCTTATGGCTATCTTTTTCTTCATTGTAT